AGGTAAACCAAATTCCAACATTTATTATGTGAATGTGCGGTTAAACATGAGTATATAGAATAATTAGTTTTGAAATAATAATTGTCAAACAGGGGTTTAATAATTTTTTGAAACAATATAAAACTAATCGTGAAGCAAGAATCGAGAGATGAGAAGAGACGTGGTCTGGTGGCTAATGAGTTGATCAGGTGACGAACATTAGGTTTTGATAGAACTGGCAAACCCTAAATATAAGTGAGGAATGAGAAATGAATGCAAGCATGTTTGGAAGAGTTTATGAAGAATTTAAATTGAGAAATTGAGTGGCAAATAAGCTCGCAGTACTCATAGTTCTTAGACTTGTTTAGAAAAAAAGTGACTTGAGTATTTATAAACAATTTATAAATGAGTCAAATATAGGCCTTTAAGGAAGATGCAATTCACAATGCTCAAAAAAGGGGAAGAATAAAAATATAAAATTTTGAGAAAATTAAAAAAACAAATGAACAAAAATTTCAAAATCTTGTGGGGTCTATGGACCTTACATGACACCATGTGGATCTGTCATTGTTGCAGCGGAATTATTCTAGATGAACAATGCCCACTGACCTCCCACCTATAGGGGGTGGAGTGGCCCTGTTCATCTAGCACAACTCGTTGCGGCACGCCCTACACTTTTTTGTCCAGCCAGGTTGATGTGACTTTGTGGAGGAAAGTGCGAGGTTCAACATGGACTTGGATATTTATTGGGCTAGAGTAATGTCATCTGTCTAGATCAACAATTAGCAGTGTAAGTGACCTTAATTGATATATTCCATTTAAAATAATATATCAATTAGCCTCTTTTTGAGTAGTTAAAAAATTGATAAAAATTTAAATCAAAGTCAATAATTAATTTTAACCACATATTTCATCATATTCATAATTTTTATTAACTTTTCAATCACGCATTTCATCAACTTTTATCAAAATTTGCTTAAATCAGATTTTTAACCACACTAAACAGAGACTCAATGTTATTTAATCGTCATCTAGACTGCTGATAGCTAGATAGATAGCACTATTCATTGAGCTAATCCGCGACCCTAAAGCGTAAGACATCCCCTGACTCGGGCACCTTTCCAATGGGGGGCGTGGGGCCGGGTACACGAGCGTGTAAACACCCGTGTACGAATAGCACGTTCCAATAATTTATTGTTTGATTGTAAAATGGATTTGAGTGATTTATTTAACAAATTAAACTTACCAACCTTACCAAAATTTGGACAGAGTAATGACAAGAAATTGAGAAATAAACATCAAAGAATAAAATGCCAATGAAAATGGACAAAGTAACACCAAGAAAAATGGATGCAAAGTCGAGGTAGGAATTGAACTCTTTTTTTTAAAGTCTTTTTTGCCTCGTAACGCTACCTACGGATGACGGTAATCAACTCCTAAGATACAACGACTACCTTCTTGTGTTTGTAGCAATCCAAAATACAAGAACAACAAACCAAACAGATAGCTTTTGCATTCTTTTTAAAATGAAAAACATATTTTTATGCAAAATTTCGACTAAAAAAATATAATTTTTTTATATTACGCTATGATTACATTAGAGATTGAAATTAGATTTTTAGCAGATTGTGATAGAAGTTTTTAAAATGTGTGGTTAAAAGTTGTGGGACCCATTTTTCATTAGGTAAACCAAATTTCAACATTTATTATGTAAATGTGTAGTTGAAAATGAGTACATAGAATAAATAGTTTTGAAATAGTAGTTGTCAAACAGGGGTTTAATAATTTTTTGAAACAATATAAAACTAATCGTGAAGCAAGAATCAAGAGATGAGAAGAGACGTGGTCGGGTGGCTAACGAGTTGATCAGGTGACGAACATTAGGTTTTGATAGAACTGGCAAACCCTAAATATTAGTGAGGAATGAGAAATGAATGCAAGCATGTTTGGAAGAGTTTATGAAGCATTTAAATTGATAAATTGAGTGGCAAATAAGCTCGCAGTACTTATAGTTCTTAGACTTGTGTAGAAAAAAGTGACTTGAGTATTTATAAACAATTTATAAATGCGAGTCAAATATAGGCCTTTAAGGAAGATGCAATTCACAATGCTCAAAAAAAAAGGGAAGAATAAAAATATAAAATTTTGAGAAAATTAAAAAAAACGAACGAACAAAAATTTCAAAATCTTGTCGGGTCTATGGACCTTACATGACACCATGTGGATCTGTCATTGTTGCAGCGGAATTATTCTAGATGAACGGTGCCCACTGACCTCCCACCTATAGGGGGTTGGATGAACAGAGCCAGACGTGGCCCTGTTCATCTAGCACAACTCGTTGCGGCACGCCCTACACTTTTTTGTCCAGCCAGGTTGATGTGGCTTTGTGGAGGAAAGTGTGAGGTTCAACATGGACTTGGATATTTATTGGGCTAGAGTAATGCCATCTGTCTAGATCAACAATTAGCAGTGTAAGTGACCTTAATTGATATATTCCATTTAAAATAATATATCAATTAGCCTCTTTTTTGAGTAGTTAAAAAATTTATAAAAATTTAAATCAAAGCCAATAATTAATTTTAACCACATATTTCATCAGATTCATAATTTTTATTAGCTTTTCAAACACGCATTTCATCAACTTTTATCAAAATTTGCTTAAATCAGATTTTTAACCACACTAAACAGAGACTCAATGTTATTTAATCGTCATCTAGACTGCTGATAGCTACATAGATAGCACTATTCATTGAGCTAATCCGCGGCCCTAAAGCGTAAGACCTCCCCTGACTCGGGCACCTTTCCAAATTTTGTATGTTAAATTACACAAAAATGAAGAACTTGCTTCTCTCTTTACTTAACTGGCAGTTGTCACAGACAGAACATTTAAATCATACCTACTAAATAAGCCAAATTGTCTGGATCTCCTAGGATATTTCGAAAATCATATTACACACATACATACACAACTAAATCCATTTTTAGGTATAACTATGGCTTTCAGTCCAGATCAGGACATAAGAGGATAGAAAAGGACATCGATTTTCTTGTCAAATTTTCTTCTAACTTCTACCTTTTCAATCTTTTTGAATGTTCCCAACTGCAACTGCAACTGCAACTGCATTGTGGATAATACAGTTGGAGCCTTCAAAGTGAGACAGTGAGACAATGAGACACTGATATGCGTCTAAAATCTTATCAAGAAGAGAACTTCCAAGAGAGAATTCCATAATGATGTGTAAAATTAATAGATAAATACCTAAACAATTGGTTCGACTTTTTCTTTATTTAAGTTTATAAAAAAGTTATAAAGATATTTACACTCGTTTAATTCTTGAAGAAATAATGTTCCACTCGCGTGTTCGAGAGTCGTATATAATCAGTTTAATATATACAAATGAGGGATGGATTGATAGTATGAGTATAGGTTTGCCAGTAAAAAAATAATTTGATCGATTATAAATAATTTATAAACATTAGCCATATTCAACGTTTTGAAGTGATGTTTACAATAAATTACAATGAGCCCACAAACACACAAATAATGTTCCATAATACGCTATCGTGCTTTTATTGATATATATAAATTATTTATTGTGGCTTGTCGTGCTTTTATTGCAATAATAATAACGCTAGTTCGTTTCGTGTGAGGGTGAAACATATTTGTACATTAACAACATTAAGGTGGCATAATAAAATATTACCTAAATTTGTGCATGTCTTCATGTCTATTTATGATTGTGTGGGCCCAATTCTTGTCATCAATTTTTTTTAACTGTCATTACTAGCAGTTTCCTCCAATGATATCGTATGACACGCGTAGCCACCGTTTACGAAATTATTAGGAGAAAATGGTATTTCAATTTTATTTTTTACCAAACATACAAAAGAATCATAGAGTATATCAAACCATCATTGTCATTTTAAAAATGACATAAGCACTAATTTAATAAGAGGTCTTACTAGCCACATAAAATAATGGGAAAATTGCAGCGGAGGTTCCAAACCTTTCATTTTGTTGCAGAATATACTTTAACCTTTTATTTTTGCGATTGCAGTTCTAAACCTTTTACTTTAATGGCAGCTGGAGTCCACTAGACGGATTACATCCAGAATTCCGTTAATCAATACTAAAATTGAAATTTTGACTCAAATAGATAGATTAAATGGAGGGTAAAATGATCAATTTATATTTCTATAATTAAATAATTAAATCAAAAAATTCGTCTTCGCCAAACCCCACCCCTCTCTACCCCTACCATGAAACCCGATCAAAATCAACTGCATCTGATAACCATGGATTAGCATTATTTGATAGAGCTCGTGTTTGTAGCCATTTAACTGCATCGAGTGCATCATCCATGGTTTGCGGAAGGCGGTGCTTTGACAAAATGAAAGATTTGGGACCTCCGCTGCAATTTTCCCTAAAATAATGGAATCAAACGTGATATTTACTTGCTCACCCTGCATTGGTGCTAGGATTATCCTGATCAAGTTGATAATTATCCTAAAGGATTTAATATTCTAAGAACCAGATCCGGTCAAACCTTGGTGCACCATTCTTTTTTCTATATATATTTTTAATTGTCATGGATAAACTGTCGTTGATAAAGCCCTGTGAAGAAACATCCTGCGAATTAATATGGCCATTTATTACCATGTATACGAATTTTGTCATATATATTTAAGTTAGAGATTCCTAACAAATGTAAATTACCTGTCCAATAACTGGAACTTTGGTTAATTTCTTTGTTTTGGGTATCAGTTACAACAGTGCTAGAAGTCTGAGAGAAAAGACTGTTTCTCATCAGAGAATAAAGGCACATACACATTCAGTTCAATCTTCTATACTCATAGCTTCCACTTTCGTCCTGCAAAGGCCAAGGATAAACACCTTCTTCATCCACTCTTGACCCCCACCCCACCCTATCTCAATTATTCTATCTTCTGTTTCTTGCATTTCTTTGTCAACAGAATCAATTATTAGAACTTTTTTTTTTAGTTTCTGGGATTTTTCAACTATGAGAAATATCGCAGCGTGTTATAGTGAACACGCGATCAAAGTATCGGATTCGTATTGTTCAGGTCCTTCAAATCAGGCTTATTCTTCAACAAATTTAATCCCTTCAATCAAAAATGCAGTGACATGTATTTACAAAGTCAAACTCTCAACTTTGAAGCAGGTCATGATCAAACTCTCATGGTGCAATCTGTTAGGCCAAGGCTTCTCTATTGGTATTTCTGATTATCCTTTTAGCCCTTCCAAACTCAGTAAAAACTCGCTGCTTTTAAGCAAAGTCAAAGGTGCAAAAACTTTTGAATCCTGCGATTCAAGGATTGAAGTCTTTTGGGATATCTCTTGTGCTCGATATGACATTGGACCCGAGCCTGTCAATGGATTTTATGTTATGGTTTTGGTCAACTCGGAACTATGTTTACTTCTTGGGGATATGGAACAAGGATTCGAGGTCAAGAAACGAATCGTTGATGTCCATGTGGCACGATTTTCACTTGTGTCGCGCAGTGAACATTTCTCAGGTAACGCCGTGTACTCCACCAAGGCTAAATTTTGTGACGCGGGCACGATGCATGACATTTTGATCAAGTGCTTGGAAAAAGAAAAGGGATTAAAGAATCTTGAATTGTCTGTTTATATTGATAAGAAGAATGTAATTCAAGTAAAGAGATTGCAATGGAATTTTCGCGGAAATCATACGATTTTTGTCGATGGATTATTGGTGGATATGATGTGGGATGTTCATGATTGGCTTTTTAATTCATCATCCGGATATGCTGTGTTCATGCTTAGGACAAGAAGTGAATTGGATAGCAGGTTGTGGTTAGAGGAGAAAATTTTGGAGCAAAAAGAAGACGAAAAGGTTGCATTTTCTTTGTTGATTTGTGCCAGTAAGAATCCAAATTAACTGTCTCCTTTTTTGGTTTTCATTTTCAGTTTTACAGTTTCTGAATCCTTTGTATTTCAGTTTTTCTTTTTCCGTAAACCCAAAATCAGTAAAAAACTTGGTTCGTACATATTTGCATTGTATATGAAGTTTGTTGTTCTGCAATTGAAATTGATTTTTAAAGTGTACGCTCGCTACATCCACTTGATAAGTTCTTGTTTGACTTTTATCTTTTTAACCTCATTTTTAATCACAAATTTTATGGGACCCACAACTTTTATTTTCAATCTTGCAGCTCACAAGCTCTAAAATAAACAAATCACAATAGACCAAACAAGATATCTTAGTAGTATCAATTATATGACATTTTATTTAATTCATCCAGCACACAATGATAAACTATTTTTTCTTTATTTTAATAAATGAATTCTTTTTTCCCCCTCACTCTGTTCAATTTATCACTATCACTCCAGCCAGATAAAGATTTATGGATCAAAAGCTTCATCCTTAAATCTATCTTAAGATTTATATCAAAATTCATGCCTCAATTGGTTTCCAAGAAAATGTTGAATCTAAATAGAAAACAAAATTATTTCTATCTCAGATAAACCATGTTATCGCATTGTGCATATCATTGCGATAGCATGATTATAAACTAATACATTCTGCTCATTGAAATTAACTCCTCCTTATTGCAATTGGAGCGGTCAATGGATTAGATTTTGATCTTAGCTTGGAAATCCGATCAATTTTCGAATCCGATAATCCATTGACTAAATGAATCAAATATGGATATATGTCAATCTGATCCAACAACAACTCGATTCGATTTGTTATAATAATATTACACATAATTTTTTTTCATTTTGAAACTTGTATTATACTTTACACATAATTTTTGAATAATAAATAATATTAGATAATAGCATAATATTGTTAATTAAAATTTTTGGAGAATTTTTAATATTCTATTAATTAAAATAAGGTAAAAAATAATTAAATTTTTTTATATAAATTACACAACCAAATGGGCCAACAGTTGGAATTGCTTTCATTGTTCCCCACTTCCCACTTCACATACTCACTAGAATATCATAGAATTTGCAATCTATAAATAAGCAAGCCAAAAATTGCATAAAAAGTCATTTGGACCTTTTAATTCTAGAGTTTAGAAGTTCATAAAATGTTTACATTCTCAATTTCTTCAATTTCGGATTATCGGATCGAATATGGGCATATCCGATCTATTTACAACCCTAATCGCAATGTATAAATCCATGCAATTGAATTATTATAACATTTACCATCTTCCAAATTCATTCAAGTTGGTCCCCAATTCAACATTTTTCTTTCTGTCTTAGTCCTTTCTTCAAGTTTCATTTTTAATACTAAACTTCACATTTAGTTCCTCATCAACCCAAAATCATTCAAAATTGATTCAATGCAAGTTTTGAAAAGCTTATAATTTAGTCCCAAAATTTATAAAGGGTGAATTGAACTCCCAAAACTTATGAATTTCGTCTGATTACTCCATTAATATTTCCAATTGCTCAGTTACAATCCAATTGATCTTTAACTGCTTAGCATCAACTCCAAGTATGCTCCAATTTGACTTATGTCGCATCAATTTTCATCTAATTGCATCCAAATTTAATTTTTTTTCCTACAATTAACATATTTTACAAAAAAATTAAATGAATTTTCGCTCATTTTATTATAAATAATGAAGAATAAAAGGCTTAAATAAGTGCATAATGGGCAGTTATTTGTCTTGAAAATGCCATCTTGCTGTTTGAAGTGACTTTTTTCCCCCTTTCTTTTTTGTGGGCTTTGTCCTTTTCTCCTTTCTGCTTGATATTTTTCAGATCTGGAAATTTTTGTTGGGTATAGTTATAATTTTGTTGATAATCTTTCCGTTTTATGTTTGTTCGGAATAAGGATTTGATGATGTTCTAACCTGTTTGAAAATAATGACTTCTGATTTGTTGTTTAGAGGTCTTAAGTAGAAGAATTACTTATGTTGCTGGTTATATGTTCGCGTAAAGAATTTTCGTTGCTTAGTCTATATTTCCATTTGTTTATATCTCCGTGTTTGTGTGGGCTGATTATTAATAAATAAGCTAAGTGAAGAAAAATGCTTAAGTTTCGTGGATGACTCTTTTCACCAGATTACAGAGCCATCTTGAAGTTGGCTTTTCTCTACGATAGTGCCTGGGAAGTTGGCTTCATTTATAAGGAGGAATAATAGTGTCCCACGAAATGTATGAAGAATAAATGAGTAGTAGTTATGAACGTGCGGTTGAAATTAATGTTTCACTGTGATTGAATTTATAAAATGTACCCAAACTGAGGCTGATTCTTTTGAAATCAGTTCAGAGTAAACGGGAAATAACAGTTGTCATCCTCTTTGATTTTGATGGATTTTTCTACATTCTGCTATATGCTTTTGGATTAAATTGAGACTGAGGAGGATTTTTTAAGCATATAAGTGATAAAGTTGTACCACTTGTTGGGGATATTTATCTGAGAAAATAGCAAGAAAACATTGTTTCCTACTTGTGCAAGAAGTATATAAACAATGAGCTGCGTCTTGCAGTTCTTTTGAGCTAGTAGTTATATGAACGACATAAACTCGAAAGAATAAAATTGCGAAAAAGAGATCTCTTTTTTTATTCTTTCTTTTTTATCGAGAGATTTTTTTTTATTCTTTCTTCTTTGTTTTTATCACATTTATACGGTTCGCTGTTTATGAATATAATGTTTTCTGCTATACTTTTAAATTTTTCCAATCTGTAGTTGAACTTATTGCCAATGCTGCATACATTGGTACCACCGGGAAGGGTATTCTTGCCGCCGATGAGTCTAGCGGCACAATTGGCAAGCGTCTAGCCAGCATCAATATTGAGAACGTTGAGACAAACAGGAGAGCTCTTCATGAACTTTTTACCACTCCTGGTCGCCTTTAGTACCTTAGTGAAGCTATCCTCTTTGAGGAAACTCTCTATCAGAAGACTGCCGCGGGTAATATAGTGAGGAGGTATTCATGTTAGTAGTAATTGTTGGAAGAATGCAAGTAATTTCAGAGGCAACTCCGTGTTAAACCATTGGGATTAAATGAATGATTTTATGGTTGAAATTCATATATTGAATTTCAGAATTCTTTAATTTGGAATGTAAATTTTAGAGAAAGTTCGAAATTCAGAATTTCTTAAAATAGAATTTTAGGGTTGAAAGTCATAATTTGGATTTTTCAATTTGAGATGTATTGGATTTTTTGGGAAATCTTCGGAAAAGAATGAACAGGGCAGCAGGAGCGGTGCGGTGCTGCTTTTGGGCACTGTAGCATCGAGGTTCGGTCCGAAATTTATAATTCATACAAGTATTGACTGGTCCAAATGAAGGTTAATATTTGATCGAATTCTTTGCATACATGTTGCAATAAATATGTGACAATTGTAAAGTTTTCCATTATGTGAACATTGAGTCGATTCAAAAATAGACTTGATGTTTGATCGAATTTATTGCCAACATTTGATTATTACACAAGAATGTCACTTACAAGTTGATATTTCTATTAAAAGACTAAATATCAATGTTGTGCTATGTCTCTTGTAATGTGATTTACCATTATTTGAAATTATTGATTGTCCAATACGGATTCTCACGTGAACATGTTATTTAGGTCTATGTTTTCTATTCGGTTAATCCATTTACTTCTACAATGTCTGCCTATTAATTAATTCAATTCATATGCTTATGGAACCAAATTTTAAGGATTGGAAAGAGAATGTTCACATCATTTTTGACTACATGGATCTAGATCTTATGTGAAGGATTGAACAACCAACTGCTCTTACGGATAATAGTTCCACTAATAAAGAGGGACTCAAATAAGTGGGATCGTTCAAACCGCATAAGTCTTATAATCATGAAGCGTAAAATTTCAGCAACATTCAAGGGTGCTATGTCCAATAAGATAAATGCTGCCAAAGAATTTCTTAAAAAATTTAAAAAACGCTTTTCAAGAGGCAATAAGGTCGAAACTAGTACGCTTCCGATGAATTTGATTTCACTAAAGTACAAGGCTAAAGAAAATATAAGAGAGTACTGAAGATGTCTCATCTTACTTCAAAACTAAAGGCATTAAGACTTGAGTTGTCTAATGACTTGCTCGTGCATTTAGTTTTTTATTTCTATTCTTACATAATTCGATTAATTTAAAGTCAGTTACGACTGTCAAAAGGTGAAGGAAGTGGACTTTTAATAAACTTATTTCATATTGTGTGCAAGAAGAAAGTCTAAAGCAAGAGCGAATTGAAGGTACTCACTTGACAAGTAACTTTAAGGACAAGTTAAAGAATAAGGAAGTCGCATCTGGTTCAACTTAAAAAAAGCTTGAAAAAGAAAAATAATCCAATTGTTACTTTTGAAAAAATTTGGAACACATAAAGAGATGCTGTACTAAATATGACACTTGACGTGTAAAGAAAAGTACACTTCTCACTTTGATTTGTTCTATGGTTAATTTAATTTAAATACTAAGACGCGTTTGATTGATAAATTCTGGTGCCACTACTTATATAAGTGTGTCTTGCAAGGTTGCTTGAACTGTCAAAAGTTAATTGATGTCGAAAGATTCATCTATGTGGGGATATGGCAAATCAATTAAAGATGAGGCTATAGGGACATTTTAGGTTGTCATTAAAGACTGGTTATTATTTGGATTTAAGAGAAACAATTGTAGTACCGTCTTCTAGAAGAAATTTGATTTCTATTTCTACATTTGACAAATTCGATTACTCTTGTTTATGTGAAAATAGTTAGTTTAGTCTTTTCTTGATCCAAATATTGTCAATTCTTTATCTAGTTATGATAACCTATGCATCCTTAATATGATTGTCTCTTATAAAGAAAACTTACATGTGAATTCAGGTGGTATTAAACATAAATTAATCAATAAAAATTCTGCTTCATTATGGCTCAAGCGATTATGTCATATCTCTCAAAAGAGAACGGAAAAT